CCTTAAAAAAAGAGTCCAAATTTCTTCAACTCAGCTTATAAGGCCCTTTGAATAAGGTCCTAACTACATCCCTACCTACCTTGACAGTCTAAACTTCAGCTGTCCTAAATTTTAGTTCTAATTTGCCATGCTCCCTTGCATCTCTGATGCTACCTCCCAGCCCTAACACCTCTGCTTTTCCCCAGCTAACTCTTCATCATGTTAGAAGTCATTTCTTCCAGAAGCTTTTCCTGACATCCCCTTCAATACGTTCTTCATAATTCCCTATTACTTCCCCTATTCTAGCATCTACCAAACTATTGTAATTGGTAATTTAACTATCCTCATTCTTTTATTTGACAAATGTTCATTGATAGCCCACTCTGTGACTGGTAGTGTATTCTCTTCTGCGTATAGAATTTAGTCAAAATAGGGTGTTGTGGAAGCACACATCAGGTGTGAGCAGGGGCTCAAGACATGCGTCTCAGGAACTTGCATTCCCATTCCCCTAGTAGATTAAATCAATGCCTACGTCATAATAATTCATGGGCTCTAAATATTTAATTCCCTCAAATGTTATATTTTAAACAAATACAGATACAAAATGTTATTGATTTAAAGAGGTCTTTTCCTCACAACAGAGTTTTTGTTTGTGACCAATCTGGATCTAATGGATTGTGGAAAGCAAAGAGGCAAAACACTTCAGTAAAAAATAAGGGACTCAGAATCAGAACAATGTGGTTGATAATTCTGCCACTTACTAGGTATGTGTCCTTGGTCAAGACCCTTAACCTCTCTGAGACTCAGTTTCCCCACCTGAAAAAGGCAGTTATAAAAATTGAATGAGAAAAAGAAAATGGAAGCTAGCACAAGATACAAAGGCTATCCAAATGCTGTCTATTATTATTGTTGTTGTAATTAGAGGCAATACAAATTAGATTGTTTTTTTACTGGTCATCCTAGCTCTATACTCAAACTCACTGCCATCAAGTCAATTCTGACTCACAGAAACCCCTCCTTGGGTTTCTGAGGCAGTATCTCTTTGGAAATAGATAAGGCAACTCAAAACCCACTGTCATTGAATCAATTACGACTCATAGCGAGTACCTTTGGGTTTCTAAAGCTGTAAATCTTTACAGAAGTCGACTGCCTCAGCTTCCTCTTGTGGAGAAGCTGGTGGATTTGAACCAGTGACCTTCTGGTTAGCAGACAAATGTCTCACCCTTACACCATGAGAGCTCTTTCTATAAGGCAACAGGATTCTCATATTCCATCCTTCATTTTCCCCTTCAAAACCAAACTCATTGCCATCAAATCGATTCTGACTCATAGCAACTCCCATTGAGTTTCCAAAGTTCTAACTCTTTATGGATGCAGACTGCTTCACCTTTCTTTTGTGGAGTGGCTGGTGGCTTTGAACCATGACCTCTGGTTACCAGCCAAATGCCTTAACCACTACATCACCAAAACTCCTTATTATCCCCAAAGGTAGGCTTTTATACTTTAATAAATACATATTGATGGAATTGGTCAAAAAGAAAAAAATGCAGAAATATACGCCAAAAAAATTAATAAATATTGCAAGGACCAGTAAAAGAAAATCACTAGTCTATAAAACTCTAGAATGTGTATTACATAGACCAAAATAAAAAAGAAAACTCAGGCTACATTTTTTTTTTTTTTTTTATGTTAGAGGGATACCAACCAAATCCAAACCCAACTCATAACAACCCTGTATATAGAATATGGTAAAACTGGCCCTGTAGAGTTTCCAAGACTGTAATTTTTATGGACAAAGACTGCCACATCTTTCTCCTCCAGCGTGGCTGGGGGGTTTGAACTGCTCACCTTTTAGTTAGCAGCCAGGCACTTAACCACTGTGCAGCTAAGCCTCCTTAGAGGGATAGGAAGCACAAAAGGGTCATGCTCTGAACCAATGTTCTCAGTAAAATTGTGACTCACTGAATTGGAAGTCAGGATATCTGGGTTCAAGGGCGAGTTTAGCTACTAACTTAATCACTAATACCCAGGTGGTAGACCCATCCAACACTCTAGTCTTTCAGTTCCTTGACCTCCTTGATTTCTATGATCTTTCCCTCACTACCTCACCCACCCACTCATGTGTCCACAAATCTTAAATGGTCATACACCATGTCCAGCTGTGCTTCTTTAGTATGATTACCTTCCATCCTCTAGAACAACTATTTCATACCTTCTCTTCTCCCTTAATGGAGCTCTGGTGGTGTAGTGCCTAAGGCATTTGACTGCTAACCAGAAGGTTGGTGGTTCAAACCACTCTGCAGAAGGAAGACTGGGCAATCTACTTCTGTGAAGATTTACTGTCTTGGAAACCCAAAAGGAGTCGCTGAGACTGAATTGACTTGACAGCAGTGAGTTTGATTTTTTCCTTCTCCCTTAAGCTTCCTATACAAATATTCCTCATTACACCTTACTTGCCTTATGCTTTTTATGCTTCATCGAGAAAAAGATCATGAGTAGGAAAAACGCCCTCACTTTCTGAACACTGAATCTACCCATGTACCTCTACTCATACTCATTGTCTTTTTCCTATTACTATGAATCACAGTGAAATTCATTATAATTCCTGAGTGAGTTACACTCAGAACTCAACAGAACTGTCCTGTTTTTCTGGTCTCCCAATTTTTCCAGTTTTGACAGGGTGCGGTCTTAATACTTTTCTATCACTCTTGATTAGTGGAAATTTTTTTAGTTTTCCTTTTCTGAGAGGTTTCCACCTTACACAGGTTCAAGCTTTTGCTGCATGTAAGGTATGCTCTGACTCAAGGCCAACACTTACACATATTCTTTGGATCCCATCTCCTCTTGTTTTCTTAAAGACTACTCCCAAAATACACATATTCTGTCACTCTCTCCTTTTTTTTTTTTTAGGTTAAGACAGTATTTTTATTAGAGTAGTTGGGTGAGGTGAGGGATCATTTGGACAGAAAGCAACAGGGAAGTGTTTCTTCATCTGCATGAGAGGGCTGGGCTAGAGACCTTTCTAGAGGCTCCAGAATTCTCTGAGTCACAGTTTTACTTGGTTTGGTATTACAAGGTGGGTACTCTTTCATCACCCACATTTTCCTACAGCTGAGGCTTCATCATTTTCCTTCTGTGGAGCAGCTGGTGGGTTTGACCTTCTGGTTAGCAGCCAAATGCTTTATCCACTACACCACCAGTTCTCCTTAATAGGATGAGTAAAACTGTCCCACTGGGTTTCCAAGGCTGTAAATCTTTATGGAAAAATACTGCCTCATCTTTCTCCCATGGAGTGGCTGGTGGTTTCAAACCACTGACCTTTTGGTTAGCAGCTGAATGCTTTAGGCACTGTACTACCAGAGCTCCTTACAATTACCTTCTAATTGCTACTGATGTTCTTCAACCCTTATGAGCCATTCACAATAAAAAAGGCAGAACAAACCTTTCAACAATATAAATCAGATCATATCACTCATTTCCAAAAATCTTACTATTTGTTTCTCATCACACTTTAAATAAATGCCAAGCTTATTATCATGGCCTATTCAAAATCCTACATGATTTGATCCCAACCTTTCTCTTCATCTTGTACAACTCCATTTACATCCCAGCCACTCTGGTCTCTATGTTGTTGTTGTTATGTGCCGTGGAGTTGGCCACGACCCACAGTGATCCCTCCTTGGGTTTCTGAGGCAGTATCATTCTGGAAATAGATTGCCCAACCTTCCTTCTGAGGAGTGGCTGGTGGGTTTGACCTGCCAGCCTTCTGGTTAACAGTCAAGTGCCTTAGGCACTACGCTACCAGAGCTACTTCTGGTCTCTAAAGTGTTGCTTAAAAGATCCAAGCTCCCTCCTGCTTTAGGACTTTTGCAATTGGAGTTCTCCTTACCTACAATGCTCTGATCCCAAATATTCCAATGGTTGGCTTCTTCCTATCACTGAGGTCTCAGCACATATGTTAACTCTTTAGAGAAGTCTTCTCTAATCAATCTAAAGTAACTACTTACTCAGTCTCTTTCACTTAATATCTTTTTTTGTTCACTTCTTTGCTGCACTTTTAACATTATCCAAAATTTCCTTGGATATTGTTTGTTTTTGTCTCCTCTCACTAGAATTTAAGCTCCATGAGAACAGGGATCTTGCCTGTCTTTCTTACCATTGTATTCACATGCCTATAACAATGTGTGCCAAATTAGTATATTCTCTAAAAATACTTGAGGAATGCCTGACACTAAACAAGCCACTCTCCTCTCCATTTAATGCAATACTGCAGGTTAACTACTGCTAGACTTCATTCTTCATCCAAGGAATACACAGGTGAAGTTCCTTGAGACTCTCATCCATTCATCTCTTCAACAAACATTTACTGAATATATATTAGACTGTGTTCAGGTATAAGGAGCTCTGGTGATGCAGTGGTTAAGTCATTCAGCGCTAACCAAAAGGTCACCGGTTTGAACCCACCAGCCCCTCCCTGGCAGAAAAATGAGGGAGTCTGCTTCCATAATGGTTTAGAGCCTTGGAAACCCTATGGGGCAGTTCTACTCTGTCTTATAGGGTCGCCATGAGTCCCAATCGACTTATGTTCCAGGTATTGTTCAATCTCAGCATTTAGTTTTCCCTCCACTAAAATGGGGTTTTGTTAACCAACACTATCTCACAGAAGTGTATAATTAAACAGGATGACTGTGACTATAATGCATAAAATGAGAAGTACTATAAAGATGTTACTCTCTATATCACCATCACTGAAACTACCTCTCTCCTTTTGTCTGGTTATGGGTAGGACTTTATGAAAAGACCCAACTGATAAAACAAGCATTATCAATTCTTGTATTCACAAAAAAAAGCAGTAAACATGAATGCCCTCTTCATAGGCACATGGTGACTGAAACGTTGGCGGACAGATTTTAATTTTCCACAATAATACACAAATAACAATCCTATTTAACCCTATGGAATATAAAGGGTAGGGTTCGGAGTGGTATTTGGTCTCTCTCCATGCCACCTGGGCCTATTACCTTTCATCGCCCCAGCTGATGTTCCAAAGGCCCGAAACAACCACAGAGTGGCGATATGGACCTGATATGGGCCTCCACAACTCATAAAGATTCCTGAATAATGTGTGCACATGTTCAAGAACTGTTCTTAATCCTCAAAAGCACTGACTGTCCACACAATGTGCCCACTGCGATAAGGTCAACCAGAATAGGTGGGGAGGTGCTGGGGGTGGGGGGAGATACCAGCAACCAATCCTGGAACACATCTCCAATCATCAGGGCATGTGAGGGCTCATTTGTGCAGATCCACCATTTGTACACTAGTGTACACTTAATCTGGGAGCTCTGGTGGTGTAGTGCCTAAGGCATTTGACTGCTAACCAGAAGCCTGGCAGTTCAAACCCACCAGCCACTCCTGGGAAGGAAGGCTGGGCAATCTACAGCAGTGGTACCGCCTAGGAAAACCAAGGGGGGGGGGTCACTATGAGTTGGATCCGACTGGATGGCAGTGAGTCTGGTTTTTCTGGTACCCTTAATAAAACTAATTTTGCAGTCAACCTTGCTTGATAGACTGCTTTCTTACTTGCGAGTCATCTATCAAACGAGTTAAGAAACAGAGGAGGAAGGGGGAAGATAAAAAAGAGGTAGTAAAGAAATGGGTCACGAAGAGGAAAGAAAAGGTTTCTGGCTATTCCCCCAGCGCCTGGCCAAAGGAGCTGAGGTTTGCTCGCCTATACTGAAGGGCAAGGGAAGGCGTTCCTGGGGGTTATCGCAAGGAAAATGACGACGGGAGGTAAGGCACTTGTACCCAAGGGCCTGGAAATGGAAAGTCTAGAGAAATGGGTCTCACCTACAAGTTTCTTTAGCATCCCCTGTTGCCCCTGGCGCCCAGCAACTGCCATGTACGCCACGTGCCGGAGGGAGTGGTGGAAGTGGAGTGCACTCACCTGGGCGCGACCTCTGCGCGAGGTGTGGGAGTAGTGGAGGGGGCAGGCTATAGGCGGTGGGGCGGGGCTAGTGGTAGCTGTGTGTTACCTCGACGTCGCGGCTTTAGGGGCTCTAAGGCCTGCGGAAGCGAGGGTCACTGGCGATCTCCAGGACGGATGGGTGTTTTCAGTCTGTTCAATCCTTTCCTTCACACGTCTCTTCTGAATATTGAGCTGTGGGACTGTGAATGTCCAGGGACACGGTCCAAATGTCAAGAAACAGCGCCAGGGGCGGCATGTGCCAGAAATCACTTGACAGAGCTCAGATCCTGTCTCCTCTTAAGCGAACTTAACTATTTCAGTTGCTGTTGAATGGATTCTGACTCATGGTGTGCCGAGTAGATCTCCTCCACAGGATTTTCATGACCTGCAGAGCACCAGGCCTCTCTTCCCACGTTGTGTGGATTCCATTGAGACTCAGTGACTGTATGTTGTGTGCCGCTGAGTAGATTCAGACTCACAGCGACCCTACAGCGTTAAGGAAGTGCTTTGTTTTCAAAATATGAAAGAGAAAAGGAGGTAGAGATCTTCAAGGATATTGGACTGAAAGCTAAATGGTGGAGGTGGAAAGGAGGATCTTGACAAGGAGTCTGATGGCTGGCCACCAGGGTACTGCTGGGTGGACTACAGGAGAGTTATTTAGTACCCATCTAAGGGAGTTGGAGGGCATATCAACAAATAGAGACTTGGAACTGTCATCAGATCAGTGGGCTCAGGCCAGATTTAATTTGAAGTTCTCAGCTGAAAAAATGTAATATTTAACTTGCTCCCAAAATGGCATGAAGCAGTTCCCACCTGTTACAGTTGTTAGGTGCTGTGGAGTCTACCTCAACTCACAGTGACACCATGTGACAGAGTAGAAGTACCCCATAGGATTTTCTGCACTGTAATTTTTATGCGAGCAGATCACCAAGTGTTTCTCCCACTTTGTGGCTGGATGCATTCAACTGCTAACCTTTCCATTAACAGCCTAACCTTTCTGCTAAGAGACCTGCATTTAACCACTAGGGCTCTTTAATTGTTCACTTAGGACTGTTCACAGAGGACTGCATAAATGATTTGTATAGAAATATAAATCTATCTAAATAAATTTCATAATTCATATAGAAATATGTTCTGAAGCATTTAAAAATAATGTTCATTTGAAGAAAAAAAATTAAAAGTGGTTTTAAAATACACTTAAAGAAACATTTGAAACTTCTAAAAAATTTATGTAATTTAAAGAGTCATTGATTATACTTCCAATAATGCCATAGAAAGCAAAAAACCTTTGAGG